CGCCATCACCAACGCGTAAAGGTCCGTAAATCTTTCGCAGAATCTTTCTCTCGAAAACTCCAAGAGCCGCCTCATCAGATGCTTTCATTGTCCATGCTTCCGCGCCATACACCAGCACAGGCATGATGAGTGACTTATAGAGTGTGATCTTTGTACGACGAGAGAGGACTTTACTTCTCAATTGCCTACTCAGCCCAAAGTAGCACTTGTTGGCAAGAGTGATTCTCCGTTGGATTTCAAGGCTGACATTATTATTGGTGTTAATGCTGGTTCCCAAATAAACGAAGTCGTCTACTTTTTCAAACTTGTAACTGTCAACAGTGACGTGGGTGCCAAGACGCGTATGCTCTGACTGTTTGTGTGCTGACAGGAGATACTTCGTTTTGTCCTCGTTCACCACCAGACCCATTCGCTTTGCTTCTCTATCCAATCCCGAGAAGGCAGAACAGACGTAGCCCTTGTTTTTACCGATAATATCGATGTCGTCGGCATACGCCAGCAATTGTACGCTCTTATAAAGTATTGTGCCTGAGCGGTTCAGTTCTGCGGCTCTTATTATCTTCTCCAACATAAGATTAAAGAAATCACACGAAAGGGAGTCCCCTTGTCTGAAACCTCGTTTGGTATCAAACGGCTCGGAGAGGTCCTTCCCTATTCTGACGGAGCTGGTGGTATTGCTCAACGTCATTTTACACAGCCGTATTAGTTTCGCGGGGATACCAAATTCAGACATCGCGGCATAAAGGCAACTTCTCTTCGTGCTGTCGAAAGCGGCTTTGAAATCGACAAATAGATGGTGTGTGTCGATCCTATTCTCGCGGGTCTTTTCCAAGATTTGGCGTATTGTGAATACCTGATCTATGGTGGATTTTCCAGGCCTAAAGCCACACTGATAAGGTCCAATCAGCTCGTTGACGGTGGGCTTCAGTCTTTCGCACAATACGCTCGATAAGACCTTGTAACCTATGCTTAGAAGGCTAATTCCGCGGTAGTTGGCGCGTATGGCGGGGTCGCCTTTCTTGTGGATTGGGCAGAGCACACTTAAATTCCAGTCGTCGGGCATGCGTTCATCTGACCATATTCTGCATACGAGCTGATGCATGCACCTCATCAGCTCCTCGCCGCCGTACTTGAATAGCTCGGCTGGCAGGCCGTCAGCTCCAGCAGCTTTGTTGTTTTTCAGCCGCGTAATCGCTATTCGTACCTCGTCATAGTCAGGCGGTGGGACAGCTACTCCATCATCATCGACTGGGGACTCGGGTTCGTCTTCCTCACTACATTCAGCGCTGCTACCATTCAGTAGGTTATAAAAGTGTTCCCTCCACAATTTAAGTATATTCTGGACATCGGTCACTAGGTCGCCATTGTTGTTCTTACAGGAGTTCGCCCCGGTCTTGAAACCTTCCGTAAGTCGCCTAACCCTCTGGTAGAATTTTCGGGCGTTCTTCCTGTCGGCCAGCATCTCAAGCTCTTCGCACTCACGTATTTCGGCCTCTCTCTTCTTATTGCGGCAAATACGTCTCGCTTCCTTCTTCAGTTCCCTATAACGGTCCCACATGGCTCGCGTTGCGCCCGATCGCAGCGTGGCCCTGTAGGCGGCATCTTTTTTCTCTGCGGCTTCTTGACATTCCTCATCGTACCAGTTGTTCTTTCGGGCTCGCTGAAATCCAACTACTTCTTCGGCGGCGGTACTTAATGATCGGGAAATGTGGTTCCACTGCTCGCGTACGTCGGATTGTTGAAGAGTGCTCTCAGAGAGCAGGTGTGTGAGTCGAGTGGCGAATAAATTGGCCGTCTGTTGTGATTGCAGCTTTTCGACGTTAAGCTTTCCTTGCATTGTTGGGCGCACATTTTTTGCTGCACAGAGGCGGGTGCGTATCTTGGCTACAACAAGATAGTGGTCCGAGTCGATGTTTGGCCCTCGGAGTGTACGTACGTCCAAAACGCTTGAAGCATGCCTTCCGTCTATCACAACATGATCGATTTGGTTTCTCGTTTTTCGATCTGGAGACAGCCATGTAGCTTGGTGGATGTTCTTATGCTGGAACCTAGTACTATATATTACCATATTTCGGGCCCCGGCGAAGTCGATCAGCCTCAGTCCGTTATCGGACGTTTCGTCGTGGAGGCTGAATTTTCCGACAGTGGCGCCAAAGATCCCTTCCTTGCCCACCTTGGCATTAAAATCGCCAAGCACGATTTTGACATCGTGTCGGGGGCAGCGCTCATATGTACGTTCCAAGCGCTCATAGAAGAGATCCTTGGACGCCTCATCCTTCTCTTCCGTCGGGGCATGGGCGCAGATGAGCGAGATGTTGAAGAATCTAGCTTTGATGCGGATTGTGGCTAGACGTTCGTCCACCGGGGTGAACGCCAGTACTCGGCGACGGAGTCTCTCTCCTACCACGAATCCAACACCGAATTTGCGCTCCTTTACGTGGCAACTGTAGTAGACGTCGCAAGGCTTCACGCTTACTTTACCTTGCCCCGTCCATCGCATTTCTTGGATGGCGGTGATGTCAGCCTTTGTCTTCCCGAGGACATCAACCAGCCGGGCAGAGGCACCTTCCCCATTAAGGGTCCGGATATTCCAGGTGCATACCCTTAAATCATAGTCCTTTATACGTTTGCCGTGGTCGTCATCAGAAAAAGGGGGTCTCATCCGAGGCTGTTTGTTTTTTTTCATTGGGCGGGGTTTTAACGTGGCGGGACCCAAACCCAGCGCACGCGAAGTTTTACGCCTTCTCACTTTAGCTCGCTCCCAAACGGGTGTTTGGTTGCTACCCAGAGGATACGTGGATATAAATATCCGGACGTTGTGAGCTGCGATTTGAACCGTACGCACAAGAATCGCTTCTGGCCACTCCCAAGTGAATGGCAGTCAAACGTTTTCCACTTCTGCGCACGGAACCATCCTCCAATTTTCCACTTCTGCGCACGGAACCATCCTCCTATTACCACATAAATATCAAAATACTTAGCACTTGATTTTTAGTAAATAGAATTTTGCCCATCACTGGTATCAATAATACAATCACCTGCTATCAATCAACGAATTTTTATTTTCATTTTCCTGCTGAACTTTTTTTTGTGGTTCCTGAGGTTATCTTAGGTCTACGTTTGTTGCTTTAATTTTCAACACTATACGTTTTTTTTTTGTTTTCTAGGATCAGACAAGATTAGCCCTGAAAATATGATCGAAAAAAATGGAAATCATAAAATAACGATTAAAAATTATCGAAAAAATAAAAATCAAAGAATAGCGATTATTTTTGATCGAAAAAATAAAAGTGTTAATATAACGATTAAAAATTATTGAAAAAATAAAAATCATAGAATAACGATTATTTTTGATCTAAAAAATTAAACTCATAAAATAACGATTAAAAATTATTGAAAAAATAAAAATCAAAGAATAACGATTACACTTCCCAACAAAATTCTGTTGCGTAAAATATTGTATCCGATTATTATAGGATTTTTCCCGTAAAATCCGAATCTGGCCGTAATGATATTGTATTGGCTCTAGTTTTCGAGCAACTTTGGTTTCAATATGTCGTAAAACGCCTCTGTAAAACAATAAATTGATGCAATATATCTGTATGGTCTGTGTGGGAGGATATGAAAGCCTAAACATTGCCCTTTCATACTCAAAATCAAAAAATTATGGTCCGAACACTGAAAGCAATTACAAACAGTTTTTTTAAACGAGTACACAAACTTTTTTTAACTCTTGTTTTGCCTGTTTTTAATCACTTGTGTTAAATGAATCTGAGGCGCTGGGAATTTCTAAAGAACCTAAAATTGTAAAAGAACAGAACACAGGCCAGCAAAATTTATGTTGACTAAAATATTACAGCCGATCCGAGCAAAGTTTAGGCTTTCGTATCCTCTCACACAGACAGATATATTGCATCAGAGGCTCAAAAATGTCCAAAAACGCGTTTTTCGACACTTTTAACCTGAGTTGCTAGACCCAATCTACTATCTTCAGGGTCAGATTCGGATTCTACGGGAAAAATCCTATAAGAATCGACTATAAATTTTAGTCAACATAATATTGTTTCAATTTTGTTGGCCTGTGTTATTTTTGATCGAAAAAATAAAAATCATAAAATAACGGTTAAAAATTATCATAATTATTTAAATCGAAAAATAACGATTATACAATAATTTTTAAATAAAAATTCTTTATGATAACGATTATTTTCGGTCCCTGAAAATTTTCAATTTACCGTTATTCAGCTTAAAACAAAAAGTGGTTCCACCACGTATACACATCTTCCGAACCAATTTAACAATCTTAATATGAAATGCGGCAAATGAAAGCTTACAAAATTCTCCATAAACCGTATGTATAATAATCATTCCAGAGTTTTTGTTTTTTGATGAAGAAATTAAAAATAAGCAAACTTTAACAGGAGAAAAATTTTAAAATAACAAATTTTTTGTAAATTTGCTGCATTTGTGTTAAAGCCTGTTCTGTAACAAAAAAATCAAGTTACTAATAAAGAAAATCGATGGACAAATAAAGCAGTAATGAGTGGTCAAATGAAAATGACAAAAGATTTTTTTTATGACATATGAGCAGAAAAGCATGTTACTCAGGTGTATGAGTATTTAATATTCTTTCCTGATAATGATGATGAATTAATTTCTCAGAAACTATCAATCCCGTCGGAAAGTAATGTCTATACGGTTTGTCAGCTTTCATTTGCCGTACTCCATATTAAGATTGTTAAATTTATTCGTAAAGATATACGTGATTAAGTGGAACCACTTTTTCTTCTAAACTGAATAACGGTAAATGGAAAATATCCCGAAAACTTGTCCATAGAAAAAAAAATTAACTCGATTTTCGGAATCAGCGGGTGATTCCACATGGCGAATGGATAGAGGCATCCGTGAAACAGACAAAAAACACAAATTGTATGTTCCAGTGTAATTATTGTTATAATATTTCGAACGAAAGCTAAACCTGTTGCATATTATGTTCCCAGTGGTTGCAGCGAGCGATCTGAAATGGCAAATTCCGTCGGGAATGTTTCGGCCGTTTATTGAAATCAATTTGATCGGGCCCCACTTACAGGATCGGAAGCGCAAATTTGCTACAAAATCCAAATCAAACAACTGGTCGCCGAAGTATAATGAAACGTTTAATTTGTAAGAAATTTTACATCCCAGTTAAAATACGTATCTAAATATATATTTTTATATCCTCAGCACAATCGGTAACGAAGAGCAGTTGGAGTTCTTCGAATTGCATATCTGCGTAAAAGACTATTGTTTCGCTAGAGACGATCGCCTAGTCGGAGTTGCCGTCATACCGCTTAAAGACATATCGGAAAAGGTAAAAATGGAGCTAAATTTACTGTACATATTTCGACGCATACCTCTTTTCTTTTCTTGATTGGCGCTGTAACCGAATAAGCGATTCTGGCCGGGTCTAATAAAACACACCAGTCGTTTCTCTTCTGTGCCAATTAGAAATGCCAAGTCATTCTCCACCCGGCATTTCTGTGGCAGAGGAGGCCTTTCTCTTCCTCTACTAACGACATCGTGATCCGCAGTGTATACTTTTAGAGCTCGAGCGTTGTGTGCATTCGCAGGACATGGCCGAGTAGCGGAGCCGCTGTATTTGAGTCCGGCGCACTATGTCATTGTAAATCTCATACAGCCTGTCGCTCTATCGTCTGTGTTATTCACCGTCGCCAACGCGCAAATTCCCGTAAATATGCCGCAGAATCTTTTTCTCAAACACTCCAAGAACCATGTTGCAAACTTTAAAGAATTAGGCGAGACTAAGTTTAAATAGCAATGCTTTATTTAATGTACGGTTGCATTAAAGCGTGATGCTTTAAAAAACCTGCAAATATATTATTTCAATTGGGTTTTTGCATTTTAACAATTCATATTTTCAGTTAATTAATAATTCAAAATAATTAATCAATTTACCTTAGTTTTCTTTATAGTTAGTTGATATCAATTTTACAATAAAAAGCAGGTCTGGTCTCTATCGCAAAATAACTTAAATGACCGAAATAAGGAGACGAATTGGCAGAATTAGTAATAAATAAGAGATCGAAACTCCGCGCAGAGTTGCAAATTTAGTACTCGTTTTTAAGCGTTGCTCAAATCGGTAACAATCTCCCCCGGGTAAGCGGACTATCCTTCAGAGCTTTCCTTTTCTTTGCCGATGTCGAGTACTGCAAGCTTTACAGCTGGCCGCTCCAAAACGCCTTGCTTTGTTTTAACTTTAGCTCGTCTTACCTGACCGTCTTTTGCCAACGTTGTATCGACGACTTTTCCTCTCAGCCTTCTCGTCGACTATCAGTACGATGTCACCCTTACTTATGGGTTTCACTTTCGCAAACCATTTACTGCGACGTGTGAGAGATGGTACCATTTCGCGCACCCAACGACGCCAAAATAAGTTTGCGAATATCTCGCTTTGACGTAAATTCAATTTTAAGTTAATATCTTCGGCTTTGCAAAAGGGCTTCGTTCCGTTCGAGGTGCCCAGCAAGAAATGATTGGGAGTGATGGGTTCCTGATCCTCGCAATCAAGGGATAAATATGTTAACGGCCGTGAATTTATGATCATCTCCACCTCCAGCAGAGCGGAACGTAAACTTTCATCAGTGAACCTCTGCGACGGCGAGATTTGGTAAAGCACCGACTTTGTTGTTCTTATTAGGCGTTCCCACGCTCCCCCCATATGAGGTGCCCCTGGTGGGTTAAACTTCCAAATAATTCCTTTATGGGCAAGTTCGCGCTCCACGATAGAATCATCCAGCTTACGAAGTTCTTCTTTCAAGAAGCTCTCAGCACCGCAGGGCAGCCACGTCGAGCAATGAAGTTTCGCAGGCACATAAGACAGGAGTCAGTACTGAGCGTATGGGCTATTTCAATGTGCACTGCTCTTATTGTGAGGCACGTCAGCATAACCCCCCTCCTTTTCTTGGCTTTGCGGTTTTCAGTTACCAATATCGGGCCGAAATAATTGACTCCTACAAAGGTAAAGGGGTGAACGTATGCAGCAAGCCGAGCAGAGGGTAGTGGAGCCATCTGGGAGCCTGCGGTTCTGCGTTTGCAATTTTACATTCTTGGCAGTTGCGCCGTACAGTTTTAAATAATGATCGCACTTTTGGTATGAAAAATAACTGTCTTACCTCATTCAGAGCTGTCTCGTGCTGTATATGGTAGAAGCGTTGGTAATAATGCTCTACTATCAGATACGTGACCCGATGATCTGATGGCAATGCGATGAAATCACGTTGAGACGAATTAGATCGTCATTGTCCATATAAACTTGAAGATTTCGTAAAGGCCCATTTTTGCATACAGGTTTACCAATTTTAAGCGTTGACCAGTTATCACAGTTTTCCATTTGAATCGTTTTAAAAATGAAAAGCTTCGCGCGATAAAAATGGTACGCGGTTAGACGACAGCTTTGCGATATACCATGGAGGCGTTGTTGTAATTTTTCGATGTAAAGCAAACAGTTTGCTACTGCTCTATACAAACGAATCTAATTCGAAAAACATTCGAAATTAACATTAAGCTTTCGCACATTGTAAGTTAGAAATCTGGTTCGCATTTCACTTGTGTTGATCGCACCTAGGTCTTCTTCTTCTGGCAATTCTTCAGCAGGTAGCGAGAGGAAAGCGGGACCATTTATCCACTGATGAGCAATTTCAACACTCGACTTAGTCTTCGTAGCGATATCAGCGACATTCATTTTTGTTGGTATCCAGCGCCATTCGCTAGTGGCAGTCGTTTCATGGATTTCAGCTATACGAAACATAACAAATTGTTGAAATTTACGTGGGTCGCCGTAAAGCCATTTTAAAACGGTTTTTGAGTCGCTCCACAAGTAGCGCTTCTCCAAATGTAGAGGATGAGCCTTTTCGATCATATTCGTTAGACGGGCACCAATTACTGCTGCCTGTAATTCCATTCGTGGAATTGATAGCGGGCGCAATGGTGCGACTTTCGCTTTAGCCGCTACGAGCCTAGTCGAAATTTTACCGCCAGCTTCGATTCTAAAATACGACACCGCAGCGTACGCATTCTCACTCGCTTTTGTTTTTGCCGTGTAATTCAACAGTAGAATGCGAAAGTGTGTGGTATTCGTTACTGGAAATAGAGCGATGATTATTCAGCATAGTTGAAGCTTCATCTGCTCTGTCGACTA